AGTTTGTCAATCGTCGTGAGAGAAAACGGAAGCCGCCCAAGCACTGGAAGCATCGGAAACACCCCGTACGGGCAGTGTGCGATGGCAGGGCCGCGGTGTTTTCCGCCTTCCGACCATAGAATGTGGACAAACAGCCTGACTAACTTGCCTCCGCTATCGGACGAAACTCTCGGGGGCCTTTGCACGATGGCGACAACCTCGTCAAAGCAGCGGAGCAAGTCCTACGTCTTCGCTGTGGAAGCCTACACAGTGCCGTCTTCCGTGCGGACGAACATCTGCGATTCAAGGTACTGTGAACTATGGCCTCTTTGTTTAACATCGTAAATAGGTGCGGTGCTACTTTGTAATCAAAGAGTTGCGGCTGTATGCGTGTGTGACGAGCGCTCTGCGTGCATTTCATAGCGCGCGCGGGCGTGGTATTGGCGCTTTAACACCGGCGATGCGATCTAGTCGCGCGATAACTTTCATTGCAAAAGCGACCATTGCGGGAAAGAAAGTGACAGGATTTGAGCTGTCGCTACAGGCGCATTCCCACCGGCGATGTAAGCAGTGGTCACACCGGCCTTTTGCGATGCGATCTAGTCGCGGAGCGGCTGTTCGGAGCGAGAGTTTTCGAGAAGCGACTCGCCAACGAAGGCGTTGGACTCGCTCATCGCGCACGCCAGTGTGACTATCTAATTTTTTTGCGATGTGATCTAGTCGCATCGCGCGACTGCTTTCATCGCCGGTGTGCACACGCCCGAGATCGGACGCATGGGCCCTTGTTTCTTGCGACGCACTGACACGCTTGTGACAGTTATCGCATTGCAATTTGCTGTTTTCATCGCCTTTCTGCACCCCCTTCCTCCCCTCGCACACACGCACAATCGCTCTAACTGTGCAAATAAAGACCGTTATGAGCCATGCGAACACTTGACGCTGTCTCGTATGCTTGTCTGCTCTAGCGTTACAGCCCATGACAAAATGCTGTATGAGGGGGAGGGTGAGAGGAGGCCCTGGCAAAATGGTAGATTTTTGGGGGGGGGGGGGGGGGAGAAGCCGGGCCCCATGGGTTCCCCCCCTGGCTACGTAAGTGATTGTAGCGTTGTTATTGGTAGAAAAGCAAAAAGTATTTTAAGTGCAGCTTGTAAATTTTTTTTTTTTTTGTTATTGTTGCAGCCTTGGGATCGTCTACGGCCGAGCGGTGTGCTACCGGAGCCAGAAAAAAACTGGTCTGCCCTACAACGTCCTCCTGGCGTTCAAGGCTGACAGCGGTGAAGTTACAGAATCAAAATGCGCGTGCCCTGCTGGTGCAGGGGGTGCGTGCAGCCATATACTTGCTGTTCTACGGCTGTTTATTTTGTTGAAGAAAGAGGGATTTAAAGAGGCACCGCCTGAGCTCTCATGCACAGAACTTCCCCAACAATGGGGGCGCCCTCGCCGACAAGGCATCAAGCCGATGAGCGTCCAGGATGTAGACTGGAGGAGTTCTCGGGAGGGTGGCATGGAGATGGCAATGCCAGTGCAGCTCTACGATGCACGAGCTGAGAAGCAGGAGGACGAACAACAACTGCAGTCTTTTCATGCACTAGGAAGGGGCCTCGAGAACATTGGAAACTTTGACTTCGCGTCAGTTCTCCTAGCAGCACGAAGGCAGTCTGTGGAAACAAAACTCGGACCTGCCCCTGCCGGCTCTCCAATGTCCTACCAGCAAGCTCAACTACCCGCAGGCTTCACAACATGGATGTCTGACAACATTGTCATGGGAGCAGGCACCATCAGCTTGATTCCAGTACCGTCTTTCTTCAACAGAGCTTCACAGCCAACATTCCCTGGCGGGTTGAGCGCTCAAGAATTGAGCATATTGACAGTAAGTGTTGTCGATCCGGATAACGTGCCATCAAGGGTGTCATCAACAGTACTGCCACAGTGTTCATGCTGTTCTGTCGGGCGGTGATAGGGTAAATCATTTTGCTGGCTGTGAACAGTGTTCCACAACAACAATGGCATAAGTAAATGCGTCTTGCATGTAATGCACAGCTCGTAAAGATAAACCACAGCCGGACTGAATGCACACTCTCTCTTACGGCCTGTGCAATGCGGCGTGATACTGCCTTTAGTACTATTGCGGACTCTGTTAGCTATAACATGGCAGCCGTGGCTTATCCCTACCCCTGCGACACATAGCAGTTGCCCTCTGAAACACCGCACCTAGTCTGTGCGCCAGAATTAACCTTCCAGGTTAATGCCACACAAGGTCACAACCTGTAGTGAGCATGCGCAGGTGGAACAGTGGATGAGAAGAGCTGCAGCGCCTCATGCAGAACGGCATGCATGCTTCTGCAATTCCGAAGGTTGTATGAAAGCACAGGAATCCAGTCCGGCCGTGGACAAACAAACACACAAGTGTTGTAACACTTCACTAGTGTCGTATTGCACGAAGCACTGAACAACATTAAAATTTTGGGTCAAAATCAGATTCCATGTTGCGATGATCAGCGTAAACATCAAAGCAAGCTTCGCTTAACACCGATTCCCACATGATGTGGGGTCCACATATTTTATTCTGTCCTGCTTTGCTTTGGCGGCAAGCAACAATGTAGCTGCACGGTGTACGACCGCTCCAAAGCCAGCCTGGTCATGTGTAGCTGAATTTGCGCTTGATGCCTAGGTGAGACCAGCTGCAAAACACAAAGCTAAAATGCATCTTAAAGCCTGGAAAGACTTTGATGCACATTATTTTACTTTTTGTGGAGGTGGTAAAAAGCGTTCACAGTTCAAGAGTGAAAGGTTGTTCCAGCTATCAGTCTCAACAAGTGCAGCGATTGTAAGGTGGGCTAAATTTGCAGGTTAACATGTTGAACCAGCGAATGGCATCTGGCACGCCCCAGTGGGAGACAGGGTTAATTTAGACCACCTGGCAATTTTTGACAGCCACCCAACCCCAATCTGAGTTACACAGTGCCTTTCCGCATTAAGTCTCAGTCAAGTTGCGGGCAGCTCGGCCAATATTCAAACCCGCCGACTGGGGATCCATATGCTAGCACTTTGCATCTGAGCTACCTAGGCGGCTAGTGTGGCAAGTGTAAAATGCTGTGTTTTGTTTTTTTCGCAGGCAATCCAGCTTTCACCAGAGGAGGCGAGAGACCTGGAGCGTAATACCAGGCAGCAGCGACACAGTCAACGCTGGAAGAAAGCACGGCTGAACAGACTAACTGCATCGCGTTTCGGATGTGTCATCACACGCAAAGAGTGGACGGAGAAGGGCCTCAAGAACCTAATTGAGCCAAAGGACCTGACACGCGTTCGTGCTGTTCAGTACGGGATAAGAAATGAAAGCATGGCCAAGGACCGGTATGTTGCTGTGATGAAGAACTATGGACACAATGTGTCAATTCAGCCCAACGGCCTATTTGTAGATCCATCATGCCCCTGGCTAGGTGCAACGCCCGACGGACTAGTCTATGACCCAGAAGAGCTGTCGTACGGTATTCTAGAAGTCAAGTGCCCACATTCTCTCAAAGACAGTGAGCCAGACTATGCAAAGAAACAAAAGTTTTCTCTAGTTTTTGGAGAGAATGACAAGCCACAGCTAGACAGAGACCACGATCACTATGCCCAGGTTGTGGGGCAGATGGCTCTGACTGGCTGTTTGTGGGGAGACTACGTTGCTTGCTCGGAGAAATGGATCGGCGTCGACCGTATTCGATTTGATCAAAATGAATGGCTCGAAATGCGCAAAAAGCTGGACAGCTTTTTCTTTGCATACAACCTTCCCTATCTTGTCAGGAGGCAGGACACGTGCTAGTGTCTAAAACAAAAGGCAATGGGTAAAAGCCACTTGGAGAGTGGAAATGCTTTCCTCACATTCCTAAGTAGCACACTTGACCGGCGTAAGCTAGAGCCATACCTGGCCCAAGCTTGCGCCGGTCAAGTGTCCTACTTGGGTTATGTACACATTGCGACATTGTTAGCGCAAACACAACATAACTGCATTTTCTCATTTACTTCGAACAAGTATTAGTGGGGTGCAAAATTTTACCTTTCCATTAAATAAAGTATTAGTGGGGTGCAAAATTTCCCTTTCCATTAAATAAAAACTAATTACACTGTTTCGATTTCAAAAGGAAAAAAAAAATGTGATAGCTTTTTTGTGCTAACAACGTCGCACTCTGTACGGCACCATACATTTCAGCACTATCGTTATGGACTGTAAAGGCGCCCTGGTGTTGCCGTGTAGGTGGAACCTTGCGGATTGCTGTGTTTGCAGTAGTTATTGCTTTCCAACGTTCATTTCCAAGCTGTCTAGTGAGAGGTGTTAGTGCTAAAGATGTTGAGTTACATACATTTCTGGATCTGCATGTTGGTGATATTCACTAGTCGCAGCTACTGCTGTAATGAGCAGACACTACTGCAAAACTGAAAGTGACATTTTGTACTAAATTTTATTTTGTTCACATTCAATATGGAACCGACAGATAAAGAAGAATCAGGAGCGCCATATTTATCTCTACTTTAAACACCGGTTCATTCGCACAGACTTCTTTCCATTTTAGTTTGTAATAACAGGTTTGCAATGTTCTAACATTATTTGTGCGACTGCTTGTGTGAATATACCATGTCTGCCTCATGCCAGTTTCAAGCACCCTGTCGCAAAATAAAGTGTTACTGTAGATTCTACACCAACTCGTTTGTAAATAAACCCGTTTGCTCACAGCAGCTGTGGGCACCGCGCACTTGCAGAGGCCTGTTTACGAACGAGCTACACATATACGCGTGCTCCGTTGCGAGGCCAGTGTTGCCGAATGGATGCGACATCGGAGACGTGAATTTTTGTATATGGTGGGAACGAAAAAGACGGGCAATACAAAAGCTTCAGAATTTATGCAGTTTTAATATCTTGTCGAGCTTTGGCACAGCATGCTATCGCACTACTCTGCAACTGCTACGGTGACCACATTCTAGAAACAAAAACGCATTCAATGCAACTATTTTCCCCCAAAAAATGCACAAGCATGGTGTCCAGGATAAGGATTTTTACTGCGAGGGAGAGATAGGGGTGATACTACGTCACACAACAAGAAAGTTATTTTGTGAAAGCCCACAGGCTAATATACATGTATGGCCTCCATACTTGTCACTACTCAGTCCACCATTTCAGGCATGCTACCCAAATGCTGAATAAGCGAGCACTGAAAATTGCTGAGGATTGCTGCCACAGTCCAAATCTGGTTAATCAGTGGAGCCAAGGTAAGGGGTATGGGCCGATCAAAAATGTGATACGCCTTTATCCTTTGTATCCTTCGCTCCACATGTATTCGCAGTGAGGCAATCTCTTTGGTTTCTTCGACTTGACTGGGCGAGAATGTGCGGCCCTTCAAAAATGGGGGCAAGTTCAGCTTCACACCTCTTTTTTCCAAAAGGTCGTGGATGCGAAACCCTTTATCCGCCATTACGGCATCACCAGCATCAAACTCTAAGTCTAGAAATCCACTCCTTATTACACATTCTCTGTCTGAACTTGAGCCTGTAAAAAGCTCTGAAACAAAAGCTACAAGCCCGTTCGGAGAGACACCAATAAGGCCCTTGAATGTGTTTGTGGACTTGTATGACGAATAGGTAGATGACTGGAGAGACAAAGAAGAGGGCACCTCACACTTAATTTCAGTGGCATCCAAAATTACTCGTGTCGACGCATACTTTTCAGCAAACTCTGGTGGCATGGTCGCATCAACTGTTTCCCTAGGCGCCCACAGAGGCAACACGCTTAATTTGGCATACAGAAAGTTTAGCCACGATTTGCAAATTCTTGAGACTGTCGATTGTGCGATAAAAAATCTATGAGCTAAATCTGCCTCAAATAGACCAAGGCGTAGCCGAACAAGAACTAAGAATAGTTCGTTTTCGGTGCTCAGCTTTCGTTTACGCCCCTTCAATGATCCTGTTCCACTGCTGCTCTCTGCGCGTAAAACGTTGCAGCCACCATCCCCGGGGTTGATGTAAAGAAGCAATTCAACAAAGTGTTTGTAACTTGGAAGGCCGGTATAGAACATAACGTCTTCATCACTGTCCTTGAATCGTTGAATAGTAAATGGAGAAGCGTCTTCTTTTTCTTGAGCAAGTTGGCAATCAAGAGAGAGCTTCTCTGCTTGCAGTTCCTGAATTGTTTCTCTTGCCATTTCCAACTGATGTCGGAGAAGTCCACACTCATCTTGAAGCCTTCCAATTTCTTTGTTCAAGCCTTGAATGATGCTTGCCAGACGTGCACTGTCTGTTGCAGGCAATGTGCTGTGGTCAGTAGGCTCCAGTGGGTTTTCAGCCGCAGCCTGCACTTCATTTGTGCAACACACCGCTGGATCATCCTGCATAGTGTTGTCTATTTGTTGGGATCTTGGCGCTGGTGCATTAGCCTTTAGTTGTGGCGGTGCACGCTTTTTTGGAGGCTTTCGCACTGTTTTCTTTTTGGAAAAGGAGAAAACGGATGGCACTGCCGTATCACGAAGGAGCTTTCGGCCACTCACAACGCTGGGTATGTAGTCACTTTCATGAAAGTGTTTTGAGCACAGCTTCGTCCACTTGCTTACTTGAAACTCGGGGCCTTCATCCCTTCTGATCGCGACAATCCATTTTTTGTAGACCATGGGATCTTTAGGGAAGCGATGGAAGGATACCTACAAGGAAAAAGCAGAAGGAAAGTTTAATGAAATATTTCAAGCAGGGCTCACTTTCACTCTGGCTCACAAATAGCCAAGCATAGTTGCGAATCAACAGCAGCGTTCGTGAATGAATGCGCGCAAATGCCATCGCAAATGTGTTGAAGTAACCCCACAGGCAACGTAAGCTGAAACGCTCGATTCGCCCTTAGTCTACGTATGCGGTTTCCACAAGCTCCATACTTTCTCAATTTGTCAAATAGTTCAAAGTACGGCGTCTTACCTATGCATTTCATATCTAGTTAGAACCACAGCTGTATGAAAAACTGGCAGGTAGGCAAAGGAAGCACGAAGGGCTGTTTCAGCTCACGTCCACGATTGCAGAGTCGGGTACGGTCTTACGCGATCGCGCGGTTCGGCCGGTCCCTCGGAGGCCAAGGGCCCACGGCAAACATCTATGTCTCTATGAAGGGGCGATAAACAGCAAGGAACCGCGACACGTTCCCCTCGCCCAGCTTAATCCTTCCTCGTCGGCCTCTGTGACCGCCTCCAGATCGCTCCTGCCACCGAACTTACATAGTAGTAGTTTTCATATACAGAACACGGTAATTAAAAATCTGTATTGTTCTTTACTACACTTTGCGGGTGTAGTTGCTTTGACAAAGCGAGGGCTGGTCTGTCGGAAACATCTAATCCAGCCGCAACGTCGCCCAGAACGCAGAAAACATCGACTACTTTTTATGGCATTTCATTTCAGTAAAAAGCCGCTACTCGGCCTGTACGTTCATCCAGTTAGGCAGACTCCACGTTACCGTGCAAAGAGAACGCCCCGCGCACCGTACAAGACCCTCGATCAGCGTGCTTGCAAACACTCGGTCCGGACAAGAGCAGTATGAAGCGACTTCACGCACCGCTTCTTCGGCACTTTCCGTCTGCTTCGTTTACCGCTAAGAAAGCAAACTTTGTACCACATACCTTATTTCCATTGCTGTCCTTGATTCCTCGCTGTTTGCACAACGGCGCGCAGCAGTGTACAGGCATTTTGCCGGTAACGAACGGAACGGACTCACAGCACGCAAACCAGACCGGCTCCGCTTCTCGCCAACATCAAAATGGCGGACAGGCTTCTTTTTGCATTCACCAGATGGCGCAGCTAATTTCGCATAAGGCCTATTGCTGGTGCTGGCCAGAGCGCCGCGACGGCAGAAATCGCGCCGCTCTAGGGCCAAAACCGCTGCATGTGAACTAGGCTTTAGAGTCAATGACGCGTAGATTGTACCTAGGCGGCCGGTAAATAGAGGCCAGATTCATAAAAAAAACCTCTTACCTACGACAACTTAGCTACGAAGTTCGTAAAGTTACGATCATCGTAAGACGAGGCGAGAACGGTATTCACAAACGCGTTCTTAAGTGAGAGGAGGAAAGTTATGACCTCTTACGGAGAAACGATGACTTCCGGTGCTGTTGCTATGGCAACGGCGTCTTCGGCAAAACGAACAACCTATTAGAGAGCTAGGCATAGTTCGGAGCACTTGGATTTTTAATAACAAACACAGGCTAACCACTCGTTGATAGACAGCTCCGTGTATGTCCTGTCCTGTCTGTGTGTAAATGTGTAGTGTTCAAGCTGATTCTCATAAACACGGGCGACCTTTCCACCACCGCTTGTCTGGGGTTCGTGTCCGTGCAGTGGTATATCGACGCTAACACGATTTAAACGCTTCGTTGACTGCTACAAACTCGATCGCTACGAAGTCAACACAACTGTCATCGTTGGTAAAAGCCCCGTGCCAGTCGTTTGCAAAGCAACGTAGAAGGAAACAAACCGCCGCGGCGTTTCTCGCGGCCTCGGAAATGCAGGAGTGAGCCGACGTTAAAGAAGATACGTTTGAACTACGAGTGTGTCAGCAAGAGTCACGTAAATACCTGTTCACACTCGGAGCGGACGCGTGCGCTTGATCGAGGTGCTGGATTCAGACTGCGTTTCGGTAAGCGCTTCGGGACCGATCTTCTACGATTGCAACTCGATACTGACGTGACACTCGGCAAAGAAAGGTTGGACCGGCATCACGTAGCTCCCACAAACTGATACAGCTCGACAGTTAAAAATGGCATACTAATAACAAAGTGTACATACCGTGTTGCGAAGCTAGGTAATCCATATGGCGTTTATTTGAGCTCCATATCACACAAAACAAGGAGATAGAATCGAGGAGTCCCTTTTCGACGACAGCGTTCGTCACCGCTGCCTCGGAAAACAAGGTGATCGAGATGATAAGGGGAATCGGTTGACCTCTGAAATTTAGTTCAGCTATCAAACTATTTATACGGGGAGGGTCCACAAGGGCCGCGCGGGCATATTCCATTCAGCAAGCCAGCCGGTCGTGGGCACACGGTCTTGGCCAAGGACCGTCTGAGCAATATGCCGCAATGCTGCGCCGGAACGGTCGGAGTGCCTGCTAGCTAGGCCTATATATTCTGCCGAGCTCGCTTGGTCGGTGGGATCGTCGCCTTTGTTGCCTTTTCCGGGTGTCTGTGGATCCAGCGTTCATGTTCGTCGTGGTCGGTTTCAGGACTTCTTCATTTTTTTTTCTTGCTGCTTGAAGTCGGGACGCGCAAGAAGAGCAGGTAGAAAAATAAATGTCCGTTGGGTCGTCGCGACCGAGCAACTGAGCGACGTTGTCGGCCATGTTAATTTGATCGTAGAAAGTGCGTAAGACAGCTTCGGAGCTGTCGTAGGATTTTGTCGTAACCTGCGCAAAAGGTACGACAATTTCGTTTCTTCTTCTTCTTCTTCTTGTTGTGAGGTCCAGAGAAGGAAAGGGAAAGCCGGGAGAAATTTCGTTTCGAGAATACGGATTTTCTCTCAAATTTGTCGTACGCATTTTTTTCGTCGTAAGTTCGCTTTGAGAATCCGGGGCCAGATTCTCAAAGCGAACTTACGACGAAAAAAATGCGTACGACAAATTTGAGAGAAAATCCGTATTCTCGAAACGAAATTGTCGTAACTTTTGCGCAGGTTACGACAAAATCCTACGACAGCTCCGAAGCTGTCTTACGCACTTTCTACGATCAAATTAACATGGCCGACAACGTCGCTCAGTTGCTCGGTCGCGACGACCCAACGGACATTTATTTTTCTACCTGCTCTTCTTGCGCGTCCCGACTTCAAGCAGCAAGAAAAAAATGAAGAAGTACTTGAAGCCGACCACGACGAACATGAACGCTGGATCCAGCCACCCGGAAAAGGCAACAAAGGCGACGATCCCACCGACCAAGCGAGCTCGGCAGAATATATAGGCCTAGCAGGCACTCTGACCCGTTCCGGCGCAGCATTGCTCAGACGGTCCTTGGCCAAGACCGTTTGCCCACGACCGGCTGGCTTGCTGAATGGAATATGCCCGCGCGACCCTTGTGGACCCTCCCCGTATGAATAGTTTGATAGCTGAACTAAATTTCAGAGGTCAACCGATTCCCCTTATCATCTCGATCACCTTGTTTTCCGAGGCAGCGGTGACGAAAGCTGTCGTCGAAAAAGGGACTCCTCGATTCCATCTCCTTGTTTTGTGTGATATAGAGCTCAAATAAACGCCGTATGGATTACCTTCGCAACACGGTATGTACACTTTGTTATTAGTATGCCATTTTTAACTGTCGAGCTGTATCAGTTTGTGGGAGCTACGCGATGCTGGTCCAACCATTCTTTGCCGAGTGTCACGTCACTATCGAGTTGCAATCGTAGAAGATCGGTCCCGAAGCGCTTACCGAAACGCAGTCTGAATCCAGCACTTCGATCAAACGCACGCGTCCGCTCCGAGTGTGAACAGGTATTTGCGTGACTCTTGCTGACACTCTCGTAGTTCAAACGTATCTTTTTTAACGTCGGCTCACTCCTGCATTTCCGAGCACGCGAGAAACGCCGCGGCGGTTTGTTTCCTTCCACGTCGCTTTGCAAACGACTTGCACGGGGCTTTTACCAATGATGACAGTTGTGTTGACTTCGTAGCGATCGAGTTTGTAGCAGTCAACGAAGCGTTTAAATCCTGTTAGCGTCGATATACCACTGCACGGACACGAACCCCAGACAAGCGGTGGTGGAAAGGTCGCCCGCGTTTATGAGAATCAGCTTGAACGCTACACATTTACACACAGACAGGACAGGACATACACGGAGCTATCAACGAGTGGTTAGCCTGTGTTTGTTATTAAAAATCCACGTGCTCCGAATTATGCCTAGCTCTCTAATTGGTTGTTCGTTTTGCCGAAGACGCCGTTGCCATAGCAACAGCACCGGAAGTCATCGTTTCTCCGTAAGAGGTCGTAACTTTCCTCCTCTCACTTAAGATCGCGTTTGTGAATACCGTTCTCGCCTCATCTTACGATGATCGTAACTTTACGAACTTCGTAGCTAAGTTGTCGTAGGTAAGAGGTTTTTTATGAATCTGGCCTCAGATTCATAAAAAACCTCTTACCTACGACATCTTAGCTACGATGTTCGTAAAGTTACGATCATCGTAAGATGAGGCAAAAACGGTATTCACAAACGCGTTCTTAAGTGAGAGGAGGAAAGTTACGACCTCTTACGGAGAAACGATGACTTCCGGTGCTGTTGCTATGGCAATGGCGTCTTCGGCAAAACGAACAACCAATTGGAGAGCTAGGCATAGTTCGGAGCACGTGGAGTTTTAATAACAAACACAGGCTAACCACTCGTT